ATAATAAATAAATACATTATACAAAAATACAAAAATACTGAAATAATCGTAACCGTAACCACGAGTCGCGACCCATCAAAACAATTTTGCGACCCATGGTTTGGGAAACGCTAGTCTAGGACATAGGAAATATATAAGAAGATATTAAAACAAGTTAGATAATACACCTAACGTCCTAATAATAACCTCATACTCTGTAACTAATGTTGTTTTATTCACCCAATTACCACATATTTTGTGATGTAAGTACCCTCACATTTACGCAAGACTACAAATTTACAATAGCGTCAATAACCATAAAATATGTGATGTTGGTGGTAATATTAATCAGATAAAGTCATTACCTAAATTTTGAACGTATACAATATATATAAGTAGACTCAATAGAGACCTAATAACTAATATAAGCATTAGTAAAAGCTATGTTAAATATGGTTATCTTTTTTCTTTTTTTTTCCTATTAGACCCTACTATGAAAAGAGAACTGTTTTGAATTATCACAGCATTTCCTATCACTGTCATCGTCCAAGGAAGAGAAGGCCAATCATCATGCCCCTTGCGTTTCGCTCCGGAAACACTAAATCACCTTAGGATGTAAATTGAAAAATTTTAAGTACACGCAACAGGCATTACAATGTAGAAGTAAGCTTAAGTAGGTATACGGTATATACCATAATATACACTAACATAGAAATAATAATAACGTAAACATATTTGCAATGCTTTCTGAAAAATCAACTGGCAATAAGTATAATATTTAATAACAAAACATAAATGAACATTAAAGAATCGATTCAAAAATAAAGTACCTGCAATATAAAACTTATTACTAGACAAGAACGTTCGATAGTTATAATATACACATGAGTAAATATTAGTTGTTATAACAGTAAGGATAGTATTGTAGGGTACCTGAATAATAAAATAAAAATATTGTATTCTAACCAAATAGGTACCTACCGTTCTACTTAATGAAAAACCAACAGTATCAACATAAAATATAAATAGATCGAGCTAGAAAATGTCCCATACATAATATTGTATTACCTATATCTATACATTTATAAAAATTTTAATATTGAAAGAAATATTATATTTTTTCCAATATTAAAACATTATACATTTTAATAATTTGGATTAAGAGGAAGCCACACGGACATTTGTTGTCTCAGTCTTGCAAACGTACAATATGGCAAATTGTACGTTCACAATAATACATTTTACTCTGTAATTTCTAAAATTAGTGTGAATACACCTTTTATAAATTTTAAAGGTAATATTACTATCTAGGGCTATTCTCAGAGGCTTTTTTTGATATTTTTATTAAGAAGCAAGTTATGACCATTTTTAAACTATACATTTTTGGTAAATTTTAAAATGATCATAATTTACTTGAAAATAATAATATCAATAAAATCCTCCAAGATGCCTTAGATCATATTATTACCTTTAAATTTTATAAAAGGTAAATTCACTCTAATTTTAGAAAATACAGAGTAAAATGCATCCTCTTAATAGACAAATATCTTGCAATTGTTTTTATAAATATCCTGTTAAAAATTTAAAAAATGTCATATTAAAATTAAATTAGATGTTGTACTCATGGCATTCATAGGCGCAGATAGCGTTTGGGATTTGTGGGGGTAGCCCATTTGTGGGGCTAAAGCCTTACTTTTTTAATATTGAATAAGCTTAAAACAAAATGTAGGAAATGTTTGGGGGGCTATGGACATTTTTTGGGGGCTTAGCCCCTAAAGCTTCCCCCCTATTTGCGCCTTTTATGTAATTTGAGTAGTTTTCTGATAAATGTTGTGTATGATTTTAAACGAAATAAGGGAAGGTACTTAATAAAGAATATTGTACAATATAGCCGCAATTTAATTAATTGACTGTAGGTATAATCAAAACTGCTATAGCATATTACGGACAAAATTCTTATTACTGAATCAAACATTATCGCTGAAAACACATTGGTTAAGGGGATTCGATCCGGTGATTTAATAAGGGGTCGTGTATAGGCAATTCGATGTATTATAGTCGTTTCGCAGTGTGTTTGTGTGCGAAGTAAATGATCATTAGTGTGCGTAGATACGTTCGGAATCAGTGGTTCGCACCAGCATGCACATGTCACATACTAAAATATTTGTTCCAACGAGAAACTAATTTCAATCAATTGAGACCTAAAAGCCTGACAAAAATACGATAACTTAGAATGATCGGATTTTAGTTCTGTAAACATATTTGAATTCATCGTTCTTTTTTCTAGGTTATTGTGGGAGTCGATTTTTGAATAACTGTTTAACTTTTTAAAGAAAGACACAAACAATTTTCAAAAAATTGAGAAATCGATATATGATTTAACGTGAATTCAAAAAAAAATATCGAAAATTGATTCCCACAATAACCTAGGAAAATTGTCAATGAACTCGAATCTTTTTACAGAATTGAAATCTGATAATTCTAAGTAGGCGTATTTTTGTCAGGCTTTTAGGTCTAAATCATGAAATAAATACGCTGGATCGAATCCCCTTAATCCTGATTGCTACCTATAATTTGTCCGGAATAAGAGGTGACTACAGTATAAATAAATATGTAGGTATTATACTTTTATGTTTAAATGCCATTTAAACCTTGACTGATTGTTAAAAATCTTATACAAATAAGTTTGATTGAATCGAGTCAAATTGAATTAATATGAAATACTTAGCATAATTAATTATTTCAACTACTTAACAGTTAGGTGGTTACAATTAAAAAAAAATAACACAAAATAATCGAATAATTGGGTAGGTACCTATATGGCTATATTATTTATATACCTACCTACATATTTGTATACCAATATATGTGTACAACGAAACGTCATAATAAAATCAAGATGGCCCAGTTTCTGTGAAAATTGGACACCGATTATGGCCGTAACTGAAAAAAATATCAGGGGTCCAACATTTGTTTTAATATGGTTACTATGGTAAAGTTAACATTATCATATAATAATGTAACATTAATTTATATCGTTCGCCCTTGATTGAATATTTAGGAATTTTATTTGATTCCAAATTATTATTCAATGCTCATGTAGGTATCGGCAATAAAAAATAAATTCTTAGCTGTATTTGTTATGATAAAAAGAAACTGTTCGGATTTTCGTGATCCACTTGCTCTCAAATGTCTATATACATTATACCTCACTATAGTCCTTGTCTCCGTTCCTTATTAGAATACGCTCCATTAATTTGTAACCACAACAATGCAGAACATAATGATCAACTTGAAAAAGTACAAAAAAAAGTTCTCATATGTATATGTCATAACTGTAAATTGTAATATTCAAAGAACTTCTCACTCTGGTTACGAAAGCATTTTAAAATGTACGTATACATATTTTATCATACAACACCTTTTTCTCCAAATTGCAGAATAACGAGATTGATGATTAATTTTTATTAAGTCAATTAAATTTCAAACTACTACACTCAACAATTATTTATTTTATATTTCTAATTCCTCTAAAAAGTATACGTCAAGCCACCCAATAAACATTTTAAAGGCTTCTGCGGAAATAGTCATTTATATTAATAAACATTGTTTGTATTATTATTATTATTATTATTATTCTATAATATTACCTTTTGGTAATGATTCCCGCAGTTGAAGCTTATGATTAAATAATTTATAATACAAATAATAAATAAATACAGGGTGTAACAGGAACATCAAATAAATATAAAAAGGAAAAATTGATATTATTACACACTAAACGTATGAAAAAAATGTGAAAATTATATTTATGGATAGTAAATAAATTAAGATTTACTTATGTCTGAACATTTTCAAAAAGAATATTTTCAAAAATGTTATAACGTATCAAATTAATTTACTGAAAAAAAATTAGATAATTTAAAAAAATGTAAGAAATAAACTATTTGACTTAAATAGACGTTTTTTACCATAACTTTTTCTAAATTAGATTTACGAATTGGCTATTTTGAATTTTATAATTTTGTATTTTCTCCATTAAAAAAAAAAGTGGTTATGTGGATGTCACTCTGCTGTACAGTTGTAAGTTATAATATATAGTGGGTTACTGTAATGGATAGTGTTAAATTTTAATTCACTGATATAGGTAGAATAGCATTGTATACAAAAAACAATTCTGAGCTGAGACGGTTTGTCAACCAAGGATATTTTTATATTATATTGATATTATTATTATTATTAAGACGGTAGCCGGTAACCTGAATTAATATTATTTGCATATTATCATATTTAAATATTGGTATATAATAATATACTTGAGAAATTTCAAGTAGGTACCTACGTATAGTATTTTTAAATTACAACAAAACAACTAAAATCGTTATTCTTAGTTAATTAATATGTAAGTTTGTCCAAATTTGAACTTAAAATACCTATACAAATAAACTGTGTTCATATATTTTTTAGATTTGAAAATTTTCGTTATTTTAATGAATTTTGTCAACATTTTAACTTATAATTTGTAATTTTTTGAAGAGCTACAAAAAAACCAAAAACGATTTTGTCGATTTATTTTTTCCAAGTGTTTTTTTTAAAACTACTGGGAATTTTAAATGTTTACCTCCTCAACGCATCAACTAGATTTACTTTACCGTCGAAAAAGATACTGAAGTTAAAAATCTAAGCATTATTTTAATTACTTATCGTATAAGTACACCAGTGGCGTAGCCAGGAATTTTTTTTTTTGTTTTTTGGATGCTAATAATGTGTTTACACAGATTTGGTATAACTAGTATCTCCCATAAGTTTAGCATACAAATGCCAAGGTTTTATTCTCGGTTTCGGTTCTTGTACGGCTATACACATTTGTATTTATATAATATCATCATAAGCATCCCGTACCAATGATAACAAAGTTATGTCATGATGTCAGAATAAAAATATACAATATCACAATTTACTATTGCTATTTACATATACTATTATTATTAAGTATTTTATTTAGTCGTCGGCAGACTGACCTGTTGGCCAACGTGACCGTGGCAGCCCTCCTCGGCGGCTCGTTCCGGTACCTGGGCCTGTGCCCTTCGGACAGGTACCGGTACAGCCTGGACTGTTGGTCGTCCCTGAGCTCCAGCTCCAGGTTCAGGTCCAGGTCCCAGTCCAGAGCGTCCGGTGGTTCGCCGCCGTCGGTGTAATCGCGGCGCCGCATCCCGCGCACCTGTTGCCCCCCCCACTCCCCGACGCCCTGGCCCACGGGTGGATCGCGCGATCCCCAATGCCGCCAGCGACGGAACTGTGTTTTTCCGTGTGGAGCCGGTGCAGTGTATGCGTGCGTGTCGCCGGTCCCGATGCCACTGGTGGCGGTGGCGCGCCAAATAAATAAGGCCCTGGGCTGCGGTACCTCTATACGTACATCGCGCGCCGTCGCCCCGGCAACCGCGTATCGGCCCGTCTATGTTCATGATAAACGTTATACAATAATATTATGATATAGTTACGTGTTGCGCCTGAAATAAGTGTCGGCAGTGACTCGATGACGACTCTAAGATGTGTATTGACGTATTGTTATTATATTTATACATATATATATTATATATAATGCATTGGTATAGGTTGTAGCCTGTAGGCAAGAGACTTGTTGATTGTTGTTCTTAATACTGTTATCGTACATGTTAAGTTAAGTATATATATATTTTAATACATGCATTTATAAATATATGAATATCTATACTTTTTGTACATAAAATACATTTGAAATGGTTTATCTATGGTTTTAGATTTAAAAATACAAAATACAACTTGATTAGAAAAATAAATAAATGTATACGTAAAAAAAACTTACTCATACCCATTCTGCAGGAGAGACCCGAGGAAGACGAGTAATTATAAGTACCTAATTAGAAGTATTTAAAATAATTCTTAAGTATTTTAAAATATATTTAAAAAAATGTTTACTCAAATAAATACCTATTTTAAATAATTATAATAACAACCTTCAAACTACCTATATGTTATTCTTATACAGTTAAACAGTTTAACATCTCATGTACCTATTCTACGATTTTATACTGACATAACATAAAATATAAATATAATTCAGTGGTATATTTACGGTGGAGGGGGGGTCAAGGAGATCAATCCCATCCACCCAAAAGCTGTATATAATATGTAAAAGTTTTCGGAGTCCAAACTTAAGGCCTTTTTAAAGGCGGGGCTACTGGATAAATCATATCCCCCCAAGACAACAACCTAAATACGCCACTGATAGAACTATAGAATTGCAATTTTTTAGTTTAATATAGATATTGTATCGACTATAAAGTATAGAGTAGATACTCTATAGCATAAAGCATATTATGATGGTTATAGAACTATAGTATACAGACCTAATAGTTTAATTGTAAACATCCTAAACTGGCTAAATCTACCTTCCCTAAAATTATCTAATAAAGAGATTATCTAAACAAGATTCTTATTAAAATATTCATCAAACATAAAATACATAGACTCAATAGTCTCCATAGACATTTTCCTGGGTTTTAACAGGAATCAAAATAACGTTCCTACATAAATATATGACTACATATATATCTATAAAAATTACAATCCCACTCAAACAAATACATTTTAAACCTTACAACAATAACACTAGTGACCTGATGATTTTGATATATATTTTATATTATTATTATATATATAGGTATATATTATATATTATAATTATTATTTAAGTGACTTTTTATACGATTTTCATGCACCTATAAATTTTATTTTTGGTATATGTCATGGGCCATACATGTAGGCGCAATTTGGGGGGGGGAGCTGGGTGTGCTTAGCACCCCCAATTTTGAAATTTTTTTTCATGTTAATTTACATTTTAATACCTAGTCATTATGTATAAAAAAAACAGTTTTTACTATGTTATTTTTTATTTATATTTATAAATAATATTATTATTTAAAAAACTAATCAAGTGATATTGTGATGAAACGTTTGTGTATGTAGAGTGTAGACGGGTAATACGTAAGACGTGTAATAAAAACTTAAAATCATAGTGAACATTTTAAACACAGATTATTTGTAAATACCGTAGCGGTGTCAATTCGGCGAAAACATCGCTGGACGCATTTGCAGTGTGACAAAATATATTACTCAGAATAGGTACTCTATGTCTCTATGGACAAACCCCAATCCACTATTGCCACAATTATAATTTTATCATTGATAATAATAGTAAATAATTCTATTTATAACAGTGACCAATGTTTTCAAATATTACTATTTGCTTGTATTTATCGTCTACAAGGCGCGTACACAAAAAAAATTAGGGGGGGGGGTTCAACCCCCGAAACCCACCTCGGTATACGCGCCTGTCATCTACATAAGTGCACACTGCCACCCTCCATTCATTAACAATTAACCGCTCGAATAAACAGTGAATGTGTGAATTCGTATAAGTTTATTTGAAAGTACCATTTGGATTATTTTGTTTTATATGTAATTTAGTCATAAACTTTTACTAATAACAAATTGTTTTCAATTTTTGAAAAGTATAAATATAATAGAAAAACGACCAATTGTGAAGCTAATGAGAAATATCTGCCAATATCAGTAAGTAAAAAAGTATAAAATCTCTAAACTAAAATTAAAGTTTGTACTGTCAACCTTCTCAGTGATATTAGTATATTCATTAAATGTATAATAATGGGTATTGTATGAGTTTCAGCCTCTGACTATCTTTAACCATATGAAAATATAACAAAAAAAAAATAGGGGGCTTCAGCACCCCCAGTTTTTTCATTGAAATTGCTCCCCTGGGCCCATACCAATGATTATATTGGCATTATCGCGATCAGCACATTACCAATAGACTTCCAGTACTGTAATTTAATCACTCAAAAATACAAATCCGATTTATATATGATATATAGGTATAGGTTACACAGCATTTCAAAAAAGAATATTGAAAGCGAGAATATCCAATGGAAATAGTATTCGACAATTCTCTACCACAAATGTGATGTAAATTTATTTATATAATCCAAAATTACCCTTCGTGTATGCGTACTTACAGCAGCACTGCATAAGGTAAAGGTATAGGCAATTTAGCATTAAAAAGTAGACTGTAGAGTATAATATATTTATTTATAACCGAAATAATTATTATTAAGGTGCAGATTTCAATGTAAATTGCATTTTTTTTAAGAGGACGTGATACCCGCATGTGTTGTCTCCGTCTTACAAGTGAGTAGGTACCTAACAGCAAATTCTACGCAAAGCAGAACACGTGTAGCTCAGTTAGTTTAAAAATTAGAGTGAATTGACTTCTTATAAAATATAAAGATAAGATTATTATCTAGACAACCATATGGGCTTTTTATTAAATTTTAATTTTTATGCGAGCTATGAGTATTTTAAAATTGTAAATTGTTTATTGATCTTGATAATGTACTCATAACTAACTTAAAAATTAAAATATTATAAAAAGCCCATGAGGTTGTCTAGATAATAATCTTACCTTTAGATTTTATAAGAGGTTAATTTACTCTAATTTTTAAATTAACGGAGCTAAACGTATTTTGCTGAGCGTAAAATTTGCTATGTTATGCCCTTGTAAGACGCAGATAACACATGCGGGTATCACATCCTCTTAATGTCCCTAAATATTGATTTATTTACCTACAAACCCAAAATTATTTTCATATTTCAAAGAACTTCAAAATTAAAATTTTGTATTTTTACCTTTTTTTATTTTTAGTTAATTTTTAGATTCTGAGTGAAACGATGAATGTATTGATTTTACAATGATGTGTGTTTTTAGATTCTGAGTGAAACGATGAATGTATTGATTTTACAATGATGTGTGTTTTTTTTTTTATTTTATTTTTATTTTTTTTGTGTCTGTGTACACGATAAGTAGTCGAAATAATGCTTCGATTTTCGACTTCAGTATCTTGTTCGATTGGAAAGTGAATATCGTTGGTGCATTGGGGAGGTCAAAATTTAAATTTCCCAGTAGTTTTCAAGAGCGCCGGGAAAAACAAAAGAAAAATTAAGGAAAAACGGGAATTTTTACGCAAAATCGATTTTTCAGAAAATTGAATTTGGTTTTTGGTGTAACTTTAAAACAAATGACCGTAGGTACATGCAATTTTCACTGGTTGTTTATATTTGCATCTTCTATACACGATATCATTTTCAAAATATTTTGATTTATTTTGAACAGTTTAGGGACATTTTCATTTTTAGTTTTTTTTTAGTTTTTTTTCTAGAAATATCAATAAAATTTTATTTGTTGGTTGCGAAAGCTTGAAAATTTAATAGAAGGCTCCTAATATATTGTTTCAAGGGCAGATGAAAAATATTAAAAATCCTTAGTCACAATTTTTTTTATAAGCATTTAAAGTTCAAAAATTGACAAAATATGGAAAAATCACGAAAATTAGCAAATTATTTTGAGTTAAGAATTCGTAAAAATTTTTCTTTTTAAATCTAAGATTTGAAAATCTAATACAAGATTACTCATAAGATTGTCTACCTTTATCAATAAAAAAATCTCTACCGGAAAGTCAAATTAAATTTTATGAGCGTTTGAAATTCAAATTTTTACAACATTGGATATTCACTCGATTTCTCATGTGGCAATTTCCTTTTTTTGTTGTAATTAAAAAACGAAGCACTGTAGATACATGAAAATTTCACTGAATGTTTATATTAGCATTTCCTATACACCATACAATTTTGAAAATATTTTGACTCTTTTTGAGCCGTTTACGGACATTTTCAGTTTTCAATTTTTTTAGTTTTTTTTTCTATAAATATTAATTAAGTTTTATCTGTTGGGCCAAAAAGTGTAAAAATTTAATACAAGGCTCCTGATATATTGTTACAATATCAGTTGAAAAATATTAAAAATACATAGGCACAATTTTTTTTTATAAGCATTTTAACATCGAATTTTGACAGAATTTTTCAAAATCTCGAAAATTATTAATCATCGTAATTAATAAATTATAAAATGTTCAGTTTTTATAGCTAAGGATTGAAAATTTAAAACAAGATTTCACGTAAGTAGTTAATTCTCTTACCGAAAAATCTAAAAAATATACAATCACAGTTTATTTTTATAGTCATTTTATATTCAAATTTGGACGAAATTACATATTAAAAAACCTAGTTATTTTGTTGTGATTATATAATATTATTCGT